CTGGGTCTACCCCGGGGTCTCCTCCCAGGTGGACGTGTTCGGAAAACCTCCAGAGGAAGCCTCCCTGGAGGCATCCGAACCAGATGTCCATACCACCTCAACTGGCTCCTTTCGACGCGAAGGAGCAGCGGCTCTACTCCGAGCTCCCTCCGGATGTCCGAGCTCCTCACCCTATCTCTAAGGCTGAGCCCAGCCACCCTGCAGAGGAAGCTCATTTCGGCCGCTTGTATCCGCGATCTCGTTCTTTCGGTCACGACCCAAAGCTCGTGACCATAGGTGAGGGTTGGGACGTAGATGGACTGGTAAATCGAGAGCTTTGCCTTGCGGCTCAGCTTTCTCTTCACCACGACGGTCCGGTACAGCGCCCGCATTACTGCTGACGCTGCACTTTCCCATTTTCCCATAACTCGTGAACAAGATCCCGAGATACTTAAACTCCCTCGCTTGAGGAACCACTCCACAGGCACTGTACTCGATGCCCACGTGACATTGAAGAGACGTGTCAGCCATGACAGTCCGACAATGTCCAGAGCCTTCAGCATCTCAGGGCGAATCTCGTCCACACCTGGCGCTTTGCCACCGAGGAGCTTCTCAACTTCCTCGGTGACCTCAACCACGGATATGGACGCAGAAGCCCCCGAGTCTTCAGGCTCTGCCCCTTCATCAGAGGACGTGTTTACCGGGTTCAGGAGTTCCTCGAAGTGCTCCTCCACCGCCCGACGAGGTCCCCAGTCTGGGTCAGCAGTTTTCCTCCCCGACTGTACACAGCCTGGGAGAATCCCTGCCTCCCCTTTCTGAGGCGTCGGACGGCTTGCCAGAACTTCTTCGGGGCCGACCGAAAGTCCTTCTCCAAAGCCTCCCCGAACTCCTCCCACACCCGAGTTTTAGCTTCCACGACCGCCACAGCTGCAGCCCGTTTGTGCCAACCAGGCACGAAAGGTCTCCTTCTTCAGCCTGACCCTGACGGCTTCCCTCACCGCCGGTGTCCACCAGCGGGTTTTGGGGTTGCCGCCGCGGCAGGCACCAGTGACCTTCTGGCCACAGCTCCTAACGGCTGCTTCTGCAATGGAGGCTTTGAACATGGACCACTCTGACTCCATGTCCCCAACCTCCCCCGGGATGCAGGAAAAACTCTTCCGGAGGTGGGAATTGAAAAACCCACGGACAAGGGCCTTTGCCAGACGTTCCCAGTTCACCCGCACTATGCGTTTGGGTTTACCAGGTCTGTCCGGCAGCCTTCCCCGCCATCGGATCAGACTCACCACCAGGTGGTGATCAGTTGACAGCTCTGCTCCTCTCTTCATCCGAGTGACCAAAACATACGGCCGCAGATCTGATGATACGACTACAAAGTCGATCATCGACCTTTGGCCTAAGGTACTCTGGTACCAAGTACACTTATGAGCAACCTTATGTTCGAACATGGTGTTTGTTTTGGCCAATCCGTGGCTAGCACAGAAGTCCAAAAACAAAACACAGCTCGGGTTCAGATCAGGCAGGCCGTTCCTCCCAATCACGCCCCTCCAGGTTTCACCGTCATTGCCCACGTGAGCATTGAAGTCCCCCAGGAGAACGATGAAGTCCCCAGGCGGCACCCCTTCCAGGACACCACCCAGTGACTCCAAGAAGGCCGAATGCTCCGGACTGCTGTTCGGTGCATAAGCACAAACAACAGTCAGAGTTTTCCCCTCTGCAACTCGCAGTCGCAGAAAGGCGACCCTCTCGTTCTCCGGGGAGAACTCCAACAAGACGGCGCTCAGCCGGGGGCTTGTGAGTATCCCCACACCCGCCCGGCGCCTCTCACCGTGAGCAACTCCGGAAAAGGAGAGTGTCCAACCCCTCTCCAGAAGTATGGTTCCAGAGCCCTTGCTGTGCGTGGAGGTGAGCCTGACTATATCTAGCCGGTAGCACTCCACCTCCCGCACCAGCTCAGGCTGCTTCCCCGCCAGTGAGGTGACATTCCATGTCCCAAGAGCTAGTCTACGCCACCAGGGGGCGGTACGCCAGGACGCCCGCTCCTGCCTACCACCCGGTGGGCATAGCACCCGACCCCAATCCTCTTCCCCGAGGGTGGTGGGTCATCGAGAAAGTGGCCCTGTCTGTGCCCGACCGAGCCCCACAGGGCCCCAAGGCTCAGCCAACAGACACTCCCCGGCGAGCTCCCCCCCCCCCCGGGCCTGGCTCCAGGGGGGTGCCCGGGTTTCCCTATTCCGGGCGAGGTGGCAGCAGTCCTTTTCTGATCTTCATTAGGGTCTTCTGAATCGCTCTTTGTCTGTCGATTCATCTTAATTCATCTTAATTACATTTTGAAAATGTTCTCCTGGTAAGGTAACAGTATGATGTAGTAAGAAACGCTTCTACTTTGAAACAGCAACAAAATGTATGTTCAGAGGTTGGTGGGATGGCAGTGGTGTAAGTCCAAACCAGGACGTTCACCTAGGACAGTGGGGTCTGTATCCCAGGTGGGATCCTCATTGGCAGCTTTCGAAAACGACAAAACCATCAAGCTATGGAAAAGCAACTGCTAAGCCTTTACTTCTCTATATATGTCTGAATCAAATCTAAGCTAGAAAATTTCCAAACAAGTAAAACAAAATGAAATGTAATTAAATGGAATGTAATTCAAGGAAACTAAACTACACAGCATAAAAGCATGATGAGTGCCTGGTCCACAGCCAAAATTGCCATTTGGACATCACTAAATGTTCTGGTGAGTGTAGTGCAGTCTAATTATACAACTTATTAATCCCACTCAGCTGCTGTATCACACTGAGAGATGTAAAACCACAGCAATGACTCAAGCCTCTCAAGTTTTCCAGCGGATATGGGACTGATGAGGGATTACAGTGCAGGGCAGGTGTAGCACAAACAGAGAGCTTCCCATTCATGTCGGTTAGGTTTCAGCAGCAGGTGTTTGTTGGTCACACACACCTTGACACGTAAGAGATGTCCACGTGTGCCTGCCCACTTGCAGGAAAATTCCACCCACAGATTTTCTTACAGTGTTATATTATCAGTATTATATGTTAAGCGTTTTATTAAAAGCCCTGCTTTCTTCCAGCCTCCTTCATTCGTGCCTTTCTACAATGTCTGAGGAGTGTGGATCATGATCATTCATTACTACCTCATTACTACCTTAATTTGCATTTATGGCAAATTATAGTGGAAATGAGCAATCCACAGAAGAATTTAAAATTTTCGATTTTCTCATTGACAAACCCCTCCTCCTTCCACATGAAAAATCGCATTAATTTCCTTTGAAGTTGTTTTGTTAAAATAGTTTCTTACTTTTTTCATCAAACAATCACTAACAAACGAAATAAGGCTGCCTAGTGGTCCAAGGCATGTAAAACTAGAGTGTTACTGGCAACAGTTTTACACAAATTGGTGCGTAAATATTCCTGTTTAACATTTTCAGAGGAGAACCCCAGACCCACAACTTAACGTGTGTCCCCTAAACTCTAATCAAATGTATGCCCACGGTTTCTTCAGTGGCCCAGTGTTGGTCACTACTCAGGGCCCCCACATCTAAGTCTCATTGACATGAATGCTGACAGCAGATTTGGATGTATAATCCACCAGAAGAGGGCATCCTCTACACTAACACATCCACGTTCCACACTGCTCCTCAACAGTGCCACTCCACACAGGCACTGCATCGCCAGCAGACGTCCCTCACTCATCAGACAGATCAGACCGTCCTGTATGTGTGTCAAACTGGTAGAAATCACACTGTTGTTGTGCTGTTGCTTAATGCCTCATGCAGGGCTTAGCAATTAAAAGTTCTCCCATTTACAGGGTGGAAAAATACAGGTGCCATTCATTGCCTAACAAGATCCTGTACAGTACTCCATGTTGGTATTTCTGGCCAGGCTATTCAGAGACAAACTGGTTTTCCCACCTTGGAAATAACATATTCCATACATAAGCACCAGACAACACTATAAACAGTTACTCATGTGTGACAGCCTCTTGGACCAAGAGGTGGAAGGAAAAAAAGGGAATCAGGAAAAAGAGTCACAATTGTGATTTTAAAAATGTTAAAATTTTGAAAAATTAAAGTACTTGAATAACTTATACAATACAGTTTAACTGTGATACCAACAAACTCAACTGACATTTATCACCTGTTAGGTGACATTTAATGTAGATCTACTGTAAAATACATCATTTAAGACAACTTTTACACATATTAATGTTAGCTTAGAACTTCCATAATGCAATGCTGCTTTATTAGTACAGTAGGAAAGAGTGACAGCTTCTCTGAGAAATAAAACTGTGAAGCATAATAAGGTCACTGTGCACTTACTACTGATAACTACATTATTCAAAAAGTCTCACAGTAACACAATGGATTTTTGTTTGGTTGGGTGTTTCTGACATTATAAATACTAACAATGGTTTATTTGAGAACAAAATCTCAATGCTACTTATCTCAAGGAGAGAGAAAGTGTTGTATTGTGTCATGAGGCAGCCTTTGACCTTGTGTAACACATGATCCTCTATCTGCAGGACTCAACAGCACTGACACTGACTGCACACAGGACAAATCATCCAGCCTGGACTCAAAAAATTAACAAAAAAACAAATGAGGGAAATTTTAGACTTGGTAATGTGACATGAGTGTTCAGTGGTTATAAGCCTTTTAAAGCGTGCCACTGACCCTCAGCAAAAGAATAATAAAATAAAAACAATATTGAGACAGATAACTCATGTTCAACCCATAATTTACAAGCGGTGGACGTTACAGCTAATTCATATTTAATAATAAATATAATATCGGCTTGAACCTTTAAACTGCCTGCTACCAGGAGCTTCTAGAAGCGCAGTTTGGTTAAATTGACCGTAAAGCGGTTCCGGGGGTCTGGACAGCCAACGAGGAGCGACTCTCTGTGGAGGAGCTGAGTATCACAGCCGTAACTGGACAACCAGTACCAGAACTGGTAGTAGTAGTAGCATTAGTACCAGTACTAGTAGTAGCAGTAACTGGCCGGTCCTACCTGCTCGTGTCGGGACGCTCCTCCGCCGGCAGAGCCAGCAGCTGCTGGAGGGAAACCAGGCTGATGCAATACACAGTAAGCGGGAGAAAGGACCGCATCTCCGGGCCAGCTTCAGCTCTACACCCGCTCTGGGAAGGAGGGGGCAACCTCCCGGACTGGGCAAGTTTACTTCCCAACAGTGAGAAGGAAATAAATCAGTAATTGGTTGAAAAAAAAAAAGTTTGGTGCTGATATCCCAATTGGCAGATTGGAGATCAAACCTTTGTGGATGAAAAAAAGAAAAGAAAGTGATTAATGATGATTTCAACCTGTGCTTGTAGCCAGTTATAAAAAAAAAAAAAGGGGGGGGGGGGAGGAAAAAAACATTTTACTTTGATTTCAACCATTTAAAGGCTTCACTGAATGACTATATGCACGGAAGAGATCATCTGAAACACCAGGTGGAGACTTGACATGCTGCTGAAAAGGTCCCCCAAACAAATGCAAATGTAAAGGACTGCATGTGATGAATAAATCTGTTCAGGATGACAGAGAAGTCAAGTCTTACCTTCTGGGCTCCGTGCCTGACTTTAGTTGTAAGTTGTTTTTTTTCCCTCATGAATCCAGACGTGTTGGTCAAGATCAAGTCCTCCAGTGGAGCTGAGCTCCGGGTGACATTGAGGGTTTAAGTAGTGAGGGGGCGGAGCCTCAGCGCCCCGCAGCAAAAGGTGCAGGAAGGTTATTAACTCCACTGATGGGACGGCTCATGGGCAGGCAGTAGGACTTCATGGTTAGTGACTGAAGTAGATGATTTGAAGAAACGTAGGTCCCTCATTTCCTTGTATAAAAAATGGCAATTATGAAATGAAAAAATACTTTATTCATCCCAGAAGGGAAATTCAATTTATTATTAGCTATGCCTATGGTATATTTTAGAATGATGCAACACAAAAGTCCCTGAACGTCTATAAGGAAGACAAAAAATGACCAAAAAAAAGTTTGGTTTAGATTACAATAAACTGAACATTGATCTTCTCATACCCACTTTAAACTCTCAGGGCTCTTACACAAGCATTGTACTGACACTATAACTAGAATAACTACACTCTTACTATTAGCATAACATCAACACCATTTAAAAACAATCAAATACATTAAAGATCGCCATAAATAAACAATGAAACACTCTCACAATCACTGATTGCTCACTACAGTGAGAATACCTGCCATCCTTTTTGTTTTATTATTCACCACCAAAGTGCTTTATCACAATCCACCATGTGCACACTGAGTAAAATAGCCCTCTTTTTCATGAAATTCTCAAGCAGTCAAACCCTCCCCCTATCTCTTATCATTGCGCTCAGCCAAGTGCGCCAGATAGATATGAAGAGATGCAGGAATCTTCCCAGACTCTCCCTTTGCCGTCAAGTTAAGCATACAGTCCGATCACTGATAAATTTCCTGTCAACAGTTTCCTTTATTGCTGTTATTGCGTGGATTACACTGTACTTCCTGGTATAAAGGAGGTTACCGTTTGTTTGATTCAGCAGATACTGTAAAACAGCCAGAGAGTTGTCTTCATACTTTCTTATTAAACCGTGACTTGACCACTTTCAGTTGTGATTTGAAATCTATTATAACAGATATGGGGCAGATATGTCACAGGTCTAAACATGCATCTTACAACTCTGTTTAATGACTCAGATGAATCTGTGCAGCTTATTTCATTCCATTAGGGAGGATTATTGTACTGTGTCCAAGTTCCCTCCTACCTTTCTTGTCAATTGACTGATAGAGTGACTGTTAATTCATAGACCTGATGCTGCCTCAAAGGAAGTTATGCAACATTAATTTCCAAGAGAGCTGGTTGTCAACAGTTGAGTGGACGCCCTTTCATGGAGCTGGAGAAACAGTGACAGAGACGCCACAAGGAATTTTGGGATGTAATGTTTGTTATTTGTCCTGTTGCTGATGCAAAAATCATCTCAGACTCAAAACTTCTTCATCTAAATAAACATATGCAGTACTGCTACAGAAGACAGAGCATGTAGTGGAGGCAAAGGAAACACTCTTAGTTTAGAATTGACAGAAAATGCATGAAGCTGTTTTTTGGAGGTTTTTTTGGTTGTGTTTCTTACTTTTCACCATTGTTCCAAAGGTGCAATAGAACAGAAGTGACTACACCCCTGTTCAGCATCACCTAAATGTCTACTATTTCTAAGCCGCTAAATAGAGCGTTTTCTGTAATGATCAATCAAGAATAAATACTTTGGAAAGACTATGTTAAAACTAGAGGCACCAAAGTAAAAATGTGATGCCTGTATAACCTGTTTTGGACCTGTGGGCTGTGTCTGTCTGCATGTCTGTATCCACATGTAAAGCTGAACCAGAATTATCAGTGGAAACACAGCAGCAGCAGCAGCAGCAATCAGGAGATTCAGAACGAGCCATAGTACCACTAATCATTGCTGCAGTGGTCATATTCTAACAATGACACCACGGACAGTGCACTATTTTCCTAATAAAGCTCTGAAAAACAGATGGACAAGTGCTTTAGATTGGTGGGTTATAAAGACAAATCAGAGTGTCTTTGACAGCTCACTCAGAGTGAAGGACAGTTCATACCATCAGCATCAGTGGATGGTGTCCAAGAAAACTGCAATATGAAACTTTAATACCAGAACATGAACAGGAGCCTACTGAACATTGAGAGCAAAAGTGTCGGGGAGATGACATTTATAGATGCACAGTGAATGCCAGTGCCTATACCAAAATACTGACTCACAAGATGACTCCCAGTCTACAGAAGCTTGGAAGAAGAGGAATTTTCCAGTACGATAGTAAACCAAAGCACACTGCCAAAATCACATAAGTATGTCGCCTAACTTGAATCCACTAAACACCTTTAGGGTGCAGCTGAAAAAACTGTCTCTGAAGAATGACAGAACATCTCTCCAGAAATATGCTTTCTGGCATTCTAAGGATTGAGACTGTCGTCAATAATAAAGGAGGACATATGAAGAACTGAAAAAAATTAAAGATTTAAAACTTAGTATTGAAAGGTGTACCATTTTTTGTTTCACTGAGTTTCTGTGTTTTTAAATATAGTAAATCTAAACAGTTAGTCTTTAACTTTACACAAGAGCAAATACCCTATTGTTCAACTACAATCCTTTCTTTTAAAAGGTGTCTGCAACACCATGAAAATGACTTTTAATCAGTTTCTTATGTTGCAGCTGTATTTCTGTGCTTTTGTAAAATACAAGAACAATAGAAGTGTATTGTTTGTATTAAAAAGCTAAAATACTGGAAAGTAATATCAACTTGTAAACTATTGGAACCGAAAAATAAAATGTTTAATTTTGGTTCACATTGAGCATCTGGACCAAGGCAACTCTTTTTGTTTGTATCTGGATCTCAGAACGGTGATTTCCACAGTGTTAGCCACAGTTTCATTAAGTAAATCTTGGTGTATGCTAATATTATCTGTTGATACAAAATAATGGGTGAATATTTTGTTTACATTTTAGTAACACTTGAGTCATGTCCAGTTTTCAAGATTGAAAATGTACAACAGTAGAAACATTTTTCCATCCAGATGGTTGGAAAAATCTGGAAAGGACTGTGGAAATTCCAGGAGAACAAGAGTAAGGTTTGTCAAATGACCTTATGTGGTTTACAAAGACCGCAAGGGAAAATCAGATGATAACTCTGTGACTCTACGGTAATGACAATACATATCATTCTTTTTAGATATTTCTTTCCACATCTTAATTAAATCATGTAAATGCTAAATATTTCCAGGAGCTACAGAAAGAATTTGGTTTGGTTTGGTAGTGAAGTCTTGTGACAGTATTCCACAGCAAAAGCAAAGTTGTAAAAACTGAACACTTTCCAGTTTCACCACCTTTTGATTGAGAGATTTGATTCTTCAAAAGCATTTAACATCCTAAATTAATGCTCAACGCATTGAGGGCATGCTAAAAGTAATTTTAAACATTGCAGACTCCTCATGATTGTTTTTAGTGCTGGATTTTAGCTTTAATGTGTTACGTGATCGCTCACTTTTGGGCAGTGTGAAGCGTAACAAGAGTGATATTCACCAAGACAGATTCGTTAGTGATAGTTGCCAACTTCTCGCCCTGTCCGATATTGTGTTACAGCTTGGCTCCGCTTTGATCGTCTCATGTGGCTGTAATACCATCAGTGTCAGTGCCATAGAATGAGTAGCCAGTGACAAACTAATCCAGGTTTGGAAATGTCCTGCTGCTCTATTGGTTTAGCTTCATTTTCACAAGCCAATTTGGGCTATTTTACCAATTCATTCACCTTCACTGGTGTACATTTAATGTCATAAATCACAGAGTTGACAGCAGTACTGTCAGGTGAATGCCCCCCCCCCCCCCCCCCCCCCCCCGCCCTCCGCAGTCTGAACTACCACCTACTGATTTGTGATGACACACTGATTGAGGAAACATTTCCCAACACAGACAGCAGATAATACTTCATTTATCAGTCAGTCTTGGCATAGAAAACAGGTCACTTCTACACTGGTTCTGACCCGTTTATGTAAGAGTTCCCTGGCATGTGACAACAGTCAGTGCATCGGTACCCACTGGGCACTGAAGACAGGCTTACCGCCTGGTTTGAGCTCACAGTCGTGCGCTGCCTTTACTTTGTTTTAGGTGGCAATTAGTGAACATGAGTGCATTGTCTGTGGTGCTGGCAAACATGGCACAGGATGGTCTTAAAAGAACCTCCATCTGTCCATTTGAAACTCATCCGAAAAGGAAAAGTTGGGACGACGTAGTCAACTGATCAAAGAGCAGGGGGACATTTGCTTGATTTAGTTCTCTGTCTGGTGTTTGATAATGTGAATCTTTGAATGGGACACAGTTTGCTTTAAAGGTTTTGTAAACAGTACAAATAAACTGTGTTGTCTCATTAGGCATGAAAAAGGAATACACTGACCACAAGGCGACAACCTCTCATATGCATCAAAGCTCTTAAACACTATACTTTCTGTCGTAGCAGAACACATGTTTCTTCTTCCTGGTCATGCATCTAGTTTGTGCTCCAGCAGCAGAGTCACTAGAATGAGGATCTGTTGGCCTTACGTCAGCATCTCACCTCGGATAACCAGCAGCCATGAAGCAAACAAAGCTGCTGAAAAATGATCATCAGATTATGACCACAGTAACCTGCACTAAATGCTTGGTTTGGATGTTCTGCTGTGGCCATCAGCTGCTACTTGCTACTTGCTGGCCACACACACAATAAGTCGATGCCAGAAAACATTTCAAGGATCCTGTGAAAGTCAGTTTCATGCAGATGGGTAGTAAGTTATGCCTCAATCATAGTGCTTCATGCAAGCAGCATCTTGCGACATAACATCATCTTTGAACTCAATTTTGGCTCTTTTATCTCATCAGGAGAATTGTCATATTTATGACGTGTGCCAGAACATTGGAAAGGAAGAATTTGCAACTTTAGCTACAATTTGTGAGGAGCCATCATTTTTGGATGCTATGCTGGCACCATTTTCAATCTGTGTGTGAGTGGTGTTTGCATGAAATAGGTCTGTGGACATTTTTCACAGGTTAACCTTACCATTATTTATTTTTGAAGAAAAGTATTGTTTGCAGATCCTATGAAGAA